TTCATCAAACTTGTCTTGGTGTATTCTTTTGATCTGGCCGAGAGGGTCTCTGCAGGTTTTTGTCATGACAGTGTCTGGAATATACCATTCGGCAATGGGATTTGGATTGTTTGTTGTCGGGTAACTTATCAGCCTATGTTCGAACTGCTCTCTGAAAACATGTGCTACCGCTGGATCCTCCAGACGCTTATTGTTAAAAACCTCTTCTGGAGGCTTTCTGCCTTTGCCGTTTTGGGGTGACGTGAAATGAGGGCTTGGCTCTGACGAGCTGATGATCAGTGTCGCAGTGGTCTGAGACACGCATGGCTCGGGTGATGAGGACATCTCGGCTGTCTCTATCTCTGACAATGATGTAGTCAATGAGATGCCTGTGTTTGGATGTAAGTGTTGCCACGAACCCTTGAACTTGTTGGCCTGCCTAAACAAGGTACAGTAGTACCCCGATTTACGCGGTCAATTGAACCCACAGGGTACCGCGTTAAGTGAAATCCGCGTAAATGGAACAACAGAACATATGGGATTAATTCCAATAGAGACTGGCCCGAACCCCAAACTCTACTTTTTCCAACACAATACCTATGTTCTAGTAAAAATAACATCATAATTTTATGATGGTACATGCACACAATTAATACTTAAGAGAAATAGAGAAATACAGTCGCCAAGTTAATGTCCATTCAAATAATGGACTCAACTCCTTTCCCCTCTTCTCACACTACACTGCTGGCTCTTCCCTCTCTGAGAAATTTTGGGGGGAAAACCACTAGATTTTAATAAATAATACCTCAAACTAAAGTTAGGATAATATAATTGACATTGCTGGATTCCTTGTAAGACCAGGAATATTTTGAATATAAATGTCTTATATTTTGCACAAAAGATAACATATTTACTCAGAGTAAACATTACATCTAAAATTTGTATGTCTAATGCAAAATCTATGATGTTTATATTCAAAATGATCATCAAATTGTAAGAATTCCAGCAATGTAAATTATATTCTGGCCAGGTAATTTGTATGAATTTTATGAGCTAAAACAAATATCTTCAGTTAATAAAAAATAATATTCTTCACGACACTATCTGTCAATCAAAGTACCCCACCTTGCCTCCCCCCCCTCTTCCAACCGCGCCAGATGGTCGGTCAGTCCCAACCCTCCCCCCCACCCCCCACCAACCCTCCCTACAAGAGAAATGTTGGGTGAAAAACTAGATTTTAACATTTAGTATTAAATAATACCTCAGATTAAAGTTAGGATAATATAATTGACATTGCTGGATTCCTTGTAAGACCAGGAATATTTTGAATATAAATGTCATATATTTTGCACAAAAGATAACATATTTACTCAGAGTAAACATTATATCTAAAATTTGTATGTCTAATGCAAAATCTATGATGTTTATATTCAAAATGATCATCAAATTATAAGAATTCCAGCCCATATCATCTAGATTTATTTTTTTTAATATATTTATTCAACCAAACATTTATATAAACTATTCTGGATTGTTATTTTAGTAAAGAAATGGAGTTTCTAACTTAATTAGAACTGCATTTACGGACATCGGGTAGTTTAGGACTCGAGGAAAACACATCCTCAGCACCCAGAAATGTTCTGGGAAAGTGGTCTAGTGTCCGCCTGTGCAAGATGCCTAGTTTAGATGACTGGAAATCTTTTCTCAGTAACCAAAAAGATTCCGGTATATGAATTTTTTCAGATTCAGAAAGAGCTTTGTGGTTTAGTAAATCTTCATCCCCGGAAGCAATTTGTACCAATTATTTTGGCTTAATGGAGATATTACTGTATTATTTTTACTTTTTTAGTACAGTATTGGACAGAAGTTCTTGCTATAACGATAATTGTGTTCTTGTAAAATATCGTTATAGGAAAATCATAGAATAGAAATAACAGGGCTTATGGAGAAAATAGGGTTAGGTGCAGATTACTCGAAATCGAAAAAATTTAGTAGTTAGCCTAACACAGTCTAAATAAATGTTACATTCATATCTAATAATGAAATCATACAGTAAATGTAACACTTTACTTGATGGGGGAGAAGGGTGATTTTGAGGTTGATAAAATCGAGCTTCTCTTCAAGTGTTATATCCTTTCTTTTATGATCATCACCGGAAATTCTATCACCAGAACGCTTCTTGTTGATATTCTTCTTTACTATATTCACAGTTAATACAGTACCACAAAATTGGAGAAATAGTAAGCAAAAATCGCGTTATAGCAAACAAGCGTTCGCGTTATACAAATACCGTTCCTAATTCATAAATCGCGTTAGAGCAAATTCGCGTTATCAAAACACGCGTTATAGCAGAACTCACTGTATGTACATTTAAAGAAATATTTATGTTTGCACAGTAATTATATACAGGTGCTCCCAACTTACAACTGGGTTAGGGACCCAAATCCAGGTCGTAAGTCCGACATAAATAAAAATAAAATAAAAAAAATAAAAAAAAAATAAAATAAATCTACAATGAAATACAGTACAGTAAAAGTAATAAATAATGAAGAATGGATACAGTGTGACTGAGCACTTACCTTTAATGTAGTCTGCTGAATGCACACGGGGCCCCCATAATTTTCTAATTATACATGGAGACTACATTAACTGGAAACGTTTCGGTATAGAAAATGCGCGCGTCATTTGAAAAAAAAATTTTTTAGGTCGCAACTGCAGCGGTCGTATGTCCTGACGGTCGTAAGTTCAGAGCAGGTCGTAAGTACCGATGGACGTAAGTTGAGGCAGTCGTAAGTCGAGGACTACCTGTATACGGTGGTCCCTCGGTTAACGAAATTCTTACGAAAATGTTTCGACATGCTTTGGCTTGCTCACCGGCTGGAAGATTAGTCCACCAATACAGAAATTGGTTCTAGGGCTTACATTCGTTAAAATTGGAGTATTAAATAATTTTCTAAGTTTTATATTCAAATTTTTTGTCATTTTAACACTTGTTTAACATAATTTCAGTACAGGGAACTAGTTTTTGGTGCACCCAACAGCCACTTCACTCACCCACCAAGGCCTCAGTTTCTATCTCTGTTCAGTGGAGGAAACATCTTGCTTGTGGGTCTCTTGAACACAGAGTATTTTTACGTTTTTACTGTACAATTATTGGTCATTCTGAAATTTATTTAACATATTGACAATATATAGTGCAGTGCAGTGTTGATTTAAAGAAAATAATCTTGAATTACACCTAGTGAACTTAAGATTTTATGGGTGAAATGACGGCATGAAGCATGGGGTGATATCTCTTCCACCCCCACTTCCTTCTCTTCTCCCTTCTCCTCCACCCCCACTTCTAATTCCCATCATCATCATTATCAACCAGGAGCCTTCTACATACACACCTCAAAGTAAGTGTACTTTACTGCATTTTTTTTATACTTTGTATGTAATTTTCGGTGAGCTGGAACCAATTACCCAAAATCCCATTGAAACAATGGTTTCGGTTAACGAAATTTTCGGTTAACAAACTACCTTCTGGAATGAATTGTGTTCGTTAACCGAGGGACCACTGTAGTCCCAGACCAGAAAAATACAGCATAACCCAAGCGGTTGGTCTTCCCACCCACGCACTAACCATGTGTGGATGCGGCTAAACATGGGGCACATCTTTCATAACGCCAGGAACCTTTGTCTTCAGGCCAGGAGTAGAAAGGTTTGGAGTGATTTTCTCGGCATTTTCTCAGATTTTCCGGTAATTGCTTTGTATCATTATTTATCATTTTTATACATTTGGTACATTCGCCGTAGGCTGAAGTAGGTTTTACTGTATCACGTGTTTGAGGTGTCCCTGTAGGCGACCTTTGGTGTAATGGTCAGCATACTCACCTCGCAAGTGAGCGGACCCTGGTTCGATCCCCGGGCAGGGTGAAACTATGGGCAAGTTTCTTTACGCCATTTACCTCTTTACCCAGCAGTAATTGGGAACCTTGATTTTAATCGATTTACGGATCATATTCCAGGATAATGATTAGCCAGTGTAGTTGGTGAGTTGTTCGGTCTTCCCGGATTATTCCTTGACACTGGGTCATGCAACTTGTTAACTTGGGGTGTAGTTGTTGTGTTGGGAACAACTTCTACACCTTGAACAAATAAACGATTTGGTGGCCCATGGGCCGGCCATCCTCGTCACACGAGGGGGTAACCATTATAATATTATAGGTGTGGGCGTATTAATGGAATTAATCTCAATTTAGCGACCTAGTTCACTAAATCTGGCGAAAAATATCAGAAAATGCCTTCTGCTATATCAAGAGTTCATTATATCGGATTCCGTTCAATCGAGAGTATACAGCTCCTCCCAGACTTACGTCGGGGTTAGGGACCCAAATCCAGGTCGTAAGTAGAAAATGCTTAAATAATACATAGAAAATCTAAAATGAGTGTCTCTTTTTCTTCTCAGCACCACAAAACTCTCACTTTTAAGCTTGTCAGCCATTTTAAAGTGAATTACTAACGAAAATTCTGTCAGTACACAGCGCAATCACTGACGTTGGGACTCGAAAATACTCTACTTAATTTGACAAAATTTTGGTACGACTGAGGTGGTCGTAAATCGAGTAGGTCGTAAGTCAGGGAGTAGCTGTACTATATTACTTAGGACAGTATTATGTTTTGATATTTTTTAATTTTTAGTTGCGTTGTGAAAACTACTTGAAACTTAATTGTAAATTAAAGTTACAGCATGTAAGTCGTACATTACATTAATTGTAAACTCAAGATGGCAATGTTGGTAAGGGGAGCGTTTGAACTCGTAACTTTTAACTGTCTTTATATATTTTTAGCGATTACTGAATATACAGATATTTTATTTTATTTTTTTTGTTAAACAGATAATAAAAAATTCTTTCCAGGGCCAAGAACACTCTTAACAAGGCAACTCTAAATGGGATATTCATTACTGTACCAAGAAGAGGAGAAAGCCCATAGAATATATGAAAAACTTGTTTTGAGAAATTTAACCTCTGTTTCAGGTAACGGAAAAATTGAATCATTTGGAGCAGAGTACTGCAGAGGAGGTAGAAAGTACATTTTCATCAATTGTTGGCTTTGGGAAGAAGAAGAAAGACAATAATCAACATAATGGCACTCTAGAGCTAAATAGGGGTTTGAAGAGGAAGGCTTCAGCAGAGAGTAAAGATCAAGTACAAAGTAAAAAGAAGAAGAACAAGGAAAACCAAGACTTTAAAGACAAGCAGTTCTATATGTCATATTCACGAGACGACCAATTTGCCGAGCAAGGGTAAGTTATTACACATTCTCTTTTAAATGTACAGTATCATATTTACAAAAACCATTTATTTTACCTAAAAGGCAGCATACCAACTGCAAATAAAAATAAATATTAAAATTCATCAAATGCAGAGCATTCTTCTTTAAAAATACCAAACTTGAACCTTCACTTCAGGAAAGTCAACCAACCTTAAATAACCTGTCTAGTTCTTTAGTAGTATGACACCAGCAGTCTTTTCTATGATTTGGATTGGCGACTGTCAGACCCGAAGCTGAATTATCAACTGGAATGGGTTGTATTTAGCAAAATATTATATGTTATGATCTAACGTAATTGGTTCCAGAACCTCGTTCGTTATAGCATTCGTTCGTTATAGGATTAATCCGTTCCAGGCCCCCAAATACAACCACTTAACACTGAAAAAATTCTGTGGAAAATGTAAAAAATACGGTACTTTATCTTACCTTAGTGTTATTCAGCATGCAGGTACCCCTAAACACTGGCACAGCACTATCACTTCCACTGGGAGTCTTGGCTTTAAGGTCCTCAAACAATTGTTTAGCCTTCTCACAAATTATAGCTTCACTAATGTTACCACCTGCCATTTCTTTCTCCTTTATCCACACTAAGAGTAAATTTTCCTTCTCTTCAACCACATTACACCTTGCTTTGCTAAGTCTAAAGATTCCCTTAGCCACTTGCACAGTTTTTAACTCCTCTTTATTCTTCAAAATCGTACATATAGTCGATTTAGCCATCCCATACATCACTAAGTTTCGCAATGCTTCTTCCATTCTCACGTTTCTTTATAATTTCTTTCTTAGTTTCAAGGGTTATTAGCTTTCTCACTCTCTTTGGACGATTCATTGTTACAATTGTATACTTGTATAACAAAATAGTTATACAAATAACGCGAATTTCCACATCAAAAGACGAAATTTCAACAATGAGTGGTGCACTGGCTACACAATGAGACAAAGATGGCGCCTGACGCTCTTGTTGTGGGTCGCGGTACAACAATATTCATGCGCCAGGCGAAATAGTCCCGTATTCATCCTCGTTCGTTGTAGGAGTTGCGTTCGTTATAGCATTCTCAATTTTATAGGTAAAACCGTTCGTTATAGGAATATTCGTAGTAGGATCAGTTCGTTATAGCATACCACACTGTACAAGTACAGTACAGTAATCCTGTGTTTTTCACGGGAATTACGTTCCTATAACCCCCGCGAACAGCCAAAACCGCAAATACTCTTTTAGGAATCACTGTACCTGTGGCCACCAAACAGCTCAGGTAGGTCATGCACTTAACCACGCCATGCTCTCCACTCACGGCCCAGTGGTCACACTGATGACTAATGCACTGCCACGCCATTTACTAACATAATTATTTGAAACTAATCATATTGTAGTATAATAATGGAAAAACGTAAACACAGTTATATACAAAAAAAATTATTTACAAGTAACTAAAAACAATTATATTTCGCTGAGGTCGGCAACACCCGCATTGCCAGCCTCTCCCTGCTGTCCCGGCGTCTGCACACCCTCACACAGTCACGCCAGCCAGCACAGTCCTCTTCCACTCACATTCCTCCACTTGAAGACTTGTATTCTGACAAAAGACACAAATGAATTGTCAGTCTTCACCACATCTCGAGCCATAGCTCTTACGACTGCTGAGCTTGTCAAATAAAACTGTTTTTTCCATTAAGGTCATCACTATTCTTGATCTCTTGGTCACTTTAGAGTCTTTGCTAGTAATATTTGCCTTTGATGAGGCTGGCTTACATCCCGGAGCCATGTGGAATGCATGTGGGAGGACAAACAGAAGAGGTAATTGCAGTAGCGTTCACAGTACGGTAGGCACATCTGGACTGAGGCTTCTCGGAGCAGCAGGTGTCTGAGGCGGGAAAGGGTGGCGTCTGTTTGCTGCACCGCATAGGGGAATATCGAAAATGGCGCAAAATTTAAATTTTTGTTTTTAAAGGATATATATATATATATATATATATATATATATATATATATATATATATATATATATATATATATATATATATATATATATATATATATATATATATATATATATATATATATATTTTTTTATGTAAATCCACAATGAAACGTGGATAAGATAAATTCTTGATAAAATTACACGGGAAATGGGAACAACGGAGCACTTTAGCTTTCGGGTTTTATTCAAGACATTCTTCAGAGTTGTTTTCAGAGGCACTGCGTATGTAAAAAACGTTATGAAAACCTCGTTAGGCGGGTAGTACTGTATATATATATATATATATATATATATATATATATATATATATATATATATATATATATATATATATATATATATATATATATATATATATATATATATATATATATATATATATATATATATGTGGGTGTTTGGTGTGAATACAAGCTTTCTTGGTTTTCTTCTTGGTTATGATATATATATATATATATATATATATATATATATATATATATATATATATATATATATATATATATATATATATATATATATATATATATATATATATATATATATATATATATATATATATATATATATATATATATAATTTAGTTTCACTTAAGGGTCAATTGAACCCAGAGGGTCCTGCTAAGGAAACTGTTAAGGAACAACAGAACATATGGGATTAATTCCAATAGAAACCGGCCCGACCCCCAAACTCCACTTTTGAAGGCACATACCTATGTTGTAGTAAAAATAACATCTTAATTTTATGATGGTACATGCACAATAATTAATACTTAAGAGAAATAGAAATATAGTCGCTAACTTAATGTCCATTCAAATAATGGACTCAACTCTCCCCTCTCACACTACACAAGCTTGCTAACAGGATGGTCGGTCGTCCTCCTCCCCCCACCCCCACCAACCGTCCCAAGGAGATGTGTGGATAACCTCAAACTAAGTTAGGGAAAATATAATTGACATTGCTGGATTCCTTGTAAGAGAATATTTTGAATATAAATGTCATATATTTTGGTACAAAAGATAACATAGTTACCTAGAGAAAAATTTTTTATCTAAAATTGTAGTTTAAAGCAAAAATATATGATGTTTATATTCAAAATGATCACCAAATTATAAGAATTCCAGCAATGTAAATTATATTCTGACCGGTAATTTGTATGAATTTTATGATCTAAAACAAATATCTTCAGTTAATAAAAAAATAATCTTCACGACACTATCTGTCAATCAAAGTACCCCACCTTGCCTCTTCCAGCAGCCGCGGTCGTCCCAACCTCCCCACCCCCACCAATCCTCCCTACCAGGTTTTTAACATTTAGTATTAAATAATGCCTCAATTAAGTTAGGATAATATAATTGACATTGCTGGATTCACTTGTAAAACCAGAGTATTTTGAATTAAATGTCATATATTTTGCACAAAAAGATACCATAGTTACCTGAAAAAATTATCAAAATTGTAAGTTTAAAGCAAAATATATGATGTTTATATTCAAATGATCACAAATTATAAAATTCCAGCAATGTAAATTATATTCTGACGGGTAATTTGTATGAATTTTATGAGCTAAAACAAATATCTTCAGTTAATAAAAAAATAAAATAATTCTTCATTGGGTAACAGATGGTCGGTTCGGTCCCTCCCTCCCCCCAACCGTCCCAAGGAGATGTGTGGGATAACCACTAAATTTTAATAAATAATACCTCAAACTAAAGTTAGGATAATATAATTGACATTGCTGGATTCCTTAAGACCAGGTATTTGAATATAAATGTCATATATTTTGCACAAAAGATACCATAGTTACCTAAATTTTTATATAAAAATTGTAAGTTTAAAGCAAAATATATGATGTTTATATTCAAAATGATCACCAAATTATAGAATTCAAATGTAAAAATATATTCTGGCCTGTTAATTTGTATGAATTTTATGAGCTAAAACAGGCAGTCAGGCAGGGTGGCGGGTGGGCAAATCTAAAAATAGGTCTCGGACACTCACTGTATATGTGGGGAAAAATCCGCGTTAAGTGAAAGTTCAGCTTTGGCAAGGCACAGCGTATATGCAGCAGCGTTAAGTGAAACCGGTTAAGCGGGTAAAAATAATAATATTATATATATATATATATATATATATATATATATATATATATATATATATATATATATATATATATATATATTATATATTATATATATATATATAATATATATATATATATATATATTTATATATATATATATATATATATATATATATACATATATACATACATATATACATATATATACACAGTCATGGCCGGTTAACGTCCGATCGCGCCTCGTCCGTGCCCCCAAAATTTCACATGACGCCTGGACCACCACTCCACGACCCCCTAATGGAGACACGATGATCTTCCCCATACTGGTCAGATATTATGTGTTAAAGGAATATGCTTCTTTCCTTAGGCCTTTTTTAAGCATTTGCCTCCAGGTGTAATGTTAACCAACATCTATTGAGGATAAAATCTTTCACCTACAAATTGACAATAACACATTTGCTGTAATCAGACATATCTGGTTGCCTGTTGCAATTTCAAATTCTGTGTCATTACTAAGGCATAACGAAGTCTCTGGTGCGCTCTGATTAAGAGAGAAAACGGAGGACTCAGGCGTCCTGAGCGAGAGAAAACGGACTCCTATGATGGGGGACACAAGCACTCACACGTGCCACTCATACTGACAGACTTGACACTCACTTACTTGACAAGTTTTACCAACCATTAGTTGTGTACTTTATCTAGTGAATTTAGTCAATATTGTACAGTACAAGTACACTGCAATACAGTGGTCCCTCGGTTAACAATGGACCTAAGTGCAAACCTGTACTGTACATATGCTAAAATTGTTATGTCTATTGCAAATATAGATTGTTTATACAGGTATTCAAATAAATCACTATCTTACAAGAATCCCAGCAATGTAAGTTATATTCACCCAGGTCGTTTAG